AAAAAAAAAAAAAGTAACAACTTAATTGTTTTGACAGAGGGAATTTAAAGACAACATAGCATTTGAGCTGTGGCACGCTACTGCTCACCGCTCTTATCCAGGTTTCTGTGACAGAGACACGTGACACAGAAAGACATGAAATGCGTGGTTTGAGGAGGTAAAAAGACATCGGGAAGGTTGAAGTTCCAGACAGGGAGGGTTTGAAGGAAGGCACCATTGTCAAATATTAGCACCATCACAGGGAAGCTTTGCCTTGTGCTTTGAGTCTTGTTCAAAAACCTACAACATGAGCTGAGGAAGTGACTCGTCAGTGGGGTGTAGACCTGTTCAATCATGTACTAGTTAGGGTTGTTTGTTTGTTTGGTTGGTTGGTTTAGTTTTTTTTTTTTTTTTTTTTTATCAACTTGACACAGATCGAGTCATCTGGGAAGAAGGATCCACGGTTGAGGAATTTCCTCTATCAAACTGGTCTGAGGGCAAATCTGTAGGACATTTTCCTAATTAATGATTGATATGGGAGGGCATAGCCCACCGTGGGCAGTGTTGTCCCTGGGAAGGTGGTCCTGGGTTGTAAAAGAAAGCAAACTGATCAAGCCATGGGGAGCAAGGCAGTTATCAGCACTCCTCCATGGCCTCTGCATCAGCTCCTGCCCTGAGTTCTTCCCTTGGCTTCCTCTGACATTGGACAGAAATCTGTAAGAGAATAAACCACTTTCTCTACAAGTTGTTTTGGGTCCGTGCTTTATCATAGCAATAGAAAACAAATTAATATGGACTCCTAGAGCCCACATAAGGCCGGATGTGGTGACATGGGCTTGAAATCCCAGCACTGGAGAGACAGAAACAGATGTATGCAGCTCACTGGCCGGCCAGCCTAGCCTGCTTGGTGAGTCCAAGGCCAGTAAGCAAGAGATGCCATCTCAGAACTGTAGATGCTGTCCTCTCACCCCTACACACATGTGAACACACACACACATGTGAACACACATGTACACACATGTGAACACACACACACCTAGACCACACTACGGCACGTGCTCGGCATACTGTTTGGCCATTGCATAAGATGAGGAAGCTTTCAGTGTACTGCTAGGACAGTGTGAGCAACAGAGGGAGGAGGCTCCTGGCATTTGCGGACTTTAAAGGAATTTATCATCACATGAGGGAGTATATGGGCAAGCGCATTTCTGGAGAGATACGCACAGACCTGAAGACCACAGGAGCTCCTGAGCCTGGAGATCCGGGACCACCTCCCCGGTTCACCAGTCAACCAGCTTGACTGTGACCCGGAGCTGCTTTTGTTAAAGGAAAAGACAGGAAACAGCATTGAGCAAACAGAAACACTTGTGAAGAGCCCCATGTGCCTCATGTGTGGACGAAGAGCAGCCTATCAGGACACGCCCAAATCTGCATCTCTAGGCTGGCGGTGGTCCAGTCAGCCGAGGCAAGGTGGTTCCAAGTTTAAGACCTGCCTAGGTCAATGAGAGATCAAGATCCACATGGATAACAGAGAGAGTGTCTCTACATAAAAAGTCGGGTTGTTCTGTTTTGTTTTTAACGCTCTTGATGTCACAGGCATGGAGCAGAGTGCAGAGGACGCCTGCTGAGAGTTCCAGGTTCCTGCATCCAACAACAAAGAATTGGTAGAGATAGACATAGTCTATTGAGAGACTGGACGTGTGCCAGAGAGCTGGGGGAGGTTAGAAGGTCAAAAGCTTGCCTGGGTCAGGTTCTCTGTGCCCACCTTCCCTCCCACATTTGGAGATTGCTAGACTTTCTCCTACGTGCTCTGTCCCCGACATCCAGCCCTGGGGGAGGGGTTTCTGGCCTTCTGCAAACTGACTTCTTTCACATGTTAATCTTCATGTCTCCCTCTTCAGGCTACTCTCTGACCGCACTGTGTGCTCTGAAATGTCTCACAACAGCCCCCAACTGTGGGAACCTCCACTAAGCCAGAGTCCGGAGCTCCCTCCAGCCCAGTGCTCCTTTTCTGTTGTTTCCTAAGAGCCAGCGACCAGGAGGGTGAGGTTACTATACTACATCAGAGATGGACCCCAAGCCCACCGCAAAAAGCCAAGCAGATGCCAGCTTTGCCTCCCCCGATAATGAGCCAGCCTCATTATCAGATTAGCTTCGGGGTGAACAGTACTCTCAATAATGCACAAATCGCTATGACAACCACCCACTTTGGTACCTAAAGATAACTTCTCCGTCAAGCCCCGTGTGTGTATTTGAAAAGAAACACCCTTCCCTGTGAGCCCCAACATTCTGCATCTCTCTGATGCCTGTGGTTCTGTGCATGATAAGCTCTAGTTTACAGATAGGCCTGTGTACATGCATGTATGGCATAGGTGTGAATGGTGTGAAAGCATGTGGGTGTGTTAGATACCAGCAGCCCAGGGCCCCCATGGCATTCCTAGCCGCAGGGATATTATCCAGTTCTCAAGGTTGGTAAAATTGCTGTTGGGCCCAGGCACCCAAGCGCACAGCCATAATTACTCAGGAAGACAAGCTTGGCCGGGATTAATTCTGTGATTAATTATGGTGGGCGCTTCTACAAGCGGGCGCACGCTCGGCAGAGTCAGGAGGGGACATGACAGCCTCTGGCTCGCCGGTAGGACGGGCGACTGAGGATTGTGTTGAGTGGGGAGCCGCGTGGGCCTGACTGTAATGAGAAATGAGGAAAGTGCTGAAAAATTGATGGCGCCTGCAGATTGCACAGGCTGGCGCGCAGCGGGGGGCCTGCAGCCGGCGTGCCCCGCGCGGTATGCTAATGCGGGCGCCTGGGCCCCGGGAAAGGCAGGAAGAAAAAGCCTGCACAAAGGAGGGAAATGCAAATGACAGGCCAGGGGATCAGTGCTGGGAATCCGGATTAAGTGCGGGGAGCTGCCGCTGGACCAAGTTTAACCCTTCCTGTACTGTCTGGCTGCGGTGGGGTGCTGCGAGCTCAAGTTTGGGTGGGGTGCAGGGCAACCGTGGGAGAGCCAAGAAGCTGTAGGGATGAGGCTGGTGCCAATCAGGAGGATCACTTCTTTGGAAGGGACATCAGGGGGGAAGTCTCCTGACAGGAAACGCAATGATCTATCTGGTAAACGGAGATCCAACAAAAAACAGCCAAACGTGCTTAAGTGTGGACATGTGCTACTGAGTCTGTTACACTTCAACCAAAGCGGAACAAGAAATAAGGCCTCAGAGAGGAATGGAGAGACGGCTGAGGGGTGCTCACACCCTGTGGGAGAGAACCACCAAGAGGCTTGTAAGTAGCAGAAATATCAAATACAAGTGGACAGCAGGTCAAATATCAGCTAAAATACAGAGAGATCTGGACAGTGTGGGGGACCGTCAGCAGCCCCCACGGGAGGGGAGACAAGGCTCACACGGAGGAAAAAGGTGGGAATATCTCAAAAACAGAAACCTGGGTAGATCACAGGGCAATGCCAATAAGGGATGGAAGGACAGACATACGTACGTATGGACAGACGGATGGATGAATGGACAGATAGATGACAGACATAGAGGATAGGTAGGTAGATGGATAAATAGTAGATAGATAGATAGATAGATAGATAGATAGATAGATAGATAGATAGATAGATAGATAGATGATAGGTATATCAGCAGTTCTCAACATGTGGGTCATGAGTGATAGAAATTCCAACCACGCCCCCATGGTTACACACGCTCTGGCGGGACACTTAGTCATTTCTGCCTAGTCATTCCGGGTCATATGTCCTAAGTAACCCATGCCTGGCATGTAATCACTCAGCGTGACCATGTGATCTATGCGTGTGCGTGGAGTAGCCACGTGGGCCTGTGTGCACAGGTGCGAGCTGGCCCTTAAAAAGGCAGGCCCCATGTCCGTGTCCCCCCCACACACGAGTCCTTCCAGCAGGCCCTGATCACATCTACCTCTTTCTCCTTGTCTGAATAAAACTCTTGTTAGTGGATTCTATTGTGTTTCGTGACTTTTCCTCGCAGGGTAAGAGCACCGCTAAAAACCATCAATGCCCCCCCCCCTTGGAGGCTGTCTTAGTTAGTGTTTCTGTTGCTTTGAAGAGACACCATGAGCATGGCAAGGCTTATAAAGGAAAGCATTTAATTGGGGCTGGCTCACAGTTCAGAGGTTCAGTCCGTTATCGTCCTGGTGAGAAGCATGTGGGAGTCCATGCAGGCAGACAGGGTGCTGGAGAGGGGATGAGAGTCCCACATCTGGATCTCAGGCGGCGGGAAGAACCAGATGCTGGGCCTGGTTTGAGCATCTGAGACCTCAAAGCCTGCCCCGATTGACACACTTCCTCCAACATGGACACACCCACCCCAATGAGGCAACGCCTCTTAGTAGTGCCACTCCCTGTGAACCTATGGGAGACATTTCCATTCCAACTGCCACAGGAATTGAACGCCTTTCCACAGGAATTGCACATCAGATATTTAGATTACAATTCATAAAGTAGCAAAATTACAGTTATGAAGTAGGAACAAAGCATTTTTATGGTTGGGGGTCACCTAGACCTGTCATCCTTTGCAGGCCCTGTGAGCACAGGGCTCAGGGAGCCCAGCAAGGAGTCACTACCTTCGACCTTGAGAGGATCAGAGTTCAGTCCCCAGCACCACGTCAGGCAGCTCACCCCAGCTCCAGGGGATCCAACGCCCTCTTCTGGGCTCCTCAGGCATTGCATTTACACCCAAACGTATCTATATAGAGACACATATGTACACATAATTAAAATAATAACTTTTTGAATTAAAGAGCAGGGATCAGATAGCAGAGATGAATCAAGGAATAGTCATCTCATTCTATGAGCCTTTTCTTACAATGAAATGTTTAAAGATTTATTTATGTTATGTGTATGGGTGATTTCCTACATGTATGTCTGTGTACACCAGCTGTGCCTGGTGCCCAAGGAGTTCAAAAGAGGGCATCAGCTCTCCTGGAAGTGGAGTTGCAGGTAGTTGTGAGCTGCCATGGGGGTTCTGGGAAGCAAACCTGCCTCCTCTGTGGGAGCAGCCAGTGCTCTAAACAGCTGAGCATCTCTCCAGCCCGGACCTTTAAAAACAAACAAACAAACAAACAAACAAGAATGTGTGTTCCTCTGTTTTTAAAGCGCACATTAAACACACAGTTGAAAAGAAATGCACAAACAGTCTGGGGGTTGCTGTGATCCTGGGCATTTTTTCCGTCCTGACAAAATGATCAGCAGAGTTAACAGAGAGACAACCAAGATGAGAATCATCGATACCCGGGATAAGGTTTCTTCAATCTTAAATCATTATTGATCTTAAGCCATTCATGGTTTCTTGTACACCATGCCATAGCACCCTCGTTTGTTCACATTGTCCCTGAGGTTGCCTGTTGGCTTCTCCCCAAGGCTTGAATTTTTTTCCTTTGAATGGTGTTTAGCTTAATCTTGATTGTCAACTTGATTGGATTTTGGATAAGCTTGGAAGCACACCCTTGGCCTGTCTGTGAGGATGCTTCCAGAGGACTGACTGAGAAGGAAAGGCTCACCCTGGGCACCATCCTGTGGGCTGAGGTCCTGGACTGACTGAAAAGGGGAAAGGGAGCTGAGCACTTCCCTCTCTTCCTGATGGTGGACACCCTGTGACAACTGCCCTGTGCTCCTGTCCCAGGATGATGGGCTGTACCCGTAAACTATAGCCCCCCCCCAAAAAAAAAATCCTTCCCTTTTCTGGTTCTGTTTTGTTTTGATTTTTATTTTTGAGACAGAGTCTCACTTTGTAGCTTCAGTTAGCCTGGAACTCACTAGGTAGACCAAGCTAGCCTCAAATTCACAAAGATCCACCTGCTTCTGTGTCCTGGGCACAAGAATTAAAGGTGAGCTCACAGCAATCCTTCATTTCTTAAACTGCTTCTGTCAGAGAAACAGAAGAAATGTGACTTATGCAAATGAATTTGTTTGTTTTTCGAGACAGGGTTTCTCTGTGTAGCTTTGTATCTTTCCTGGAACTCACTCTGTAGCCCGGGCAGGCCTCGAACTCACAGAGATCTGCCTGGCTCTGCCTCCCAAGTGCCGGGATTAAAGGCATGCACCACCACCACCTGACTGCAAATGAGATTTTAAAAGCAAAGTTCAGAACACTGTTGATACCTGAGAGAATCTTTGGTTTTGTGGCTTTTAAAGCATACCTTTATATTATAATTTTATATTATTGAAAACATGGTTGTATGCATGTATGAAATGCTCAAGAAAATAAGAAATTTTGTATTCGAAAGCAGTTTTGAAAGTTGAATGTCTTGTTTGCTTTTGTTAATTTAGTAGATAATGTTATCTATGAGGAATGACCAGCCCAAACCTAACCCTGAATGGCCTCTCAGTGTGTGTGTGTGCGTGTGTGTGACATGCACGTGTGTGTGTGTGTGTGTGTGTGTGTGTGTGTGTGTGTGACATGCACATGTGCCTGTGCACATTTGATGGTCAGAGGAAGATGGCAGGTGTTCTCCTGTCTCAGGGTTTTTATGGCTGTGATGGAACATGACCAAACAACTTGGGGAGGAAAGGGTTTATTTTATCTTACACTTCCAGGTAACAGTCAATTACTGAGGAAGTCAGGGCAGGAACTCAAGCAGAGCAGGAATCTAGAGGCAGGAGCTGATGCAGAGAACACGGAGGAATGCTGCTTACTGGCTTGTTCCCCATTGCTTGCTCAGCTTGATTTCTTATACCATCCAGGGCCACATGCCCAGGAGGGCACCACATACCTGTGGTGGCTTGAATAGGAATGGTCCCCATACACTCATGTGTTTGAATGCTTGACCCATAGGGAGTGGCACTATCAGGAGGTGTGGCCTTGTTGGTGTGGGTGTGGCCTTGTTGGGGTGGGTGTGGCCTTGTTGGGGTGGGTGTGGACTTGTTGGAGTGGGTGTGGACTTGTTAGAGGAAGTGTGTCATTGGAGGCAGTCTTTGAGGTCTCATATGCTCAAGCTATAGCCAGTGTGGGACACAGCTGCTTCTGCTACCTGTGGATCAAGATGTAGAACTCTCAGCTCCTTCTCCAGCACCATGTCTGCCTGCCTGCTGCCATGAAGATAATGGACTAAATGCCTGAAAATGTAAGCCAGCCTGAAATAAATGTTTTCTTTATAAGAGTTGCTATGGTCATAGTGTCTCTTCACAACAATGGAAACACTAGCTAAGACAGGTGATGTCTCCCACATCAATCATCAGTCAAGAATATAAGTCCCACAGGCTAATCTAGTAGGGACATTTTCTCCACTGAGGTTCCCCTTTGCAAAATGACACTAGCCTATGTCACATTGACATAAAACCAGGGGCATACCTGCTCTGTCACACCTCATTCCTTTGAGTCAGGGATTCTCACTGAACTGGGCTGGGGGTCAGAGATCCCCAGTGATCCTCCTGTCTCCACTCCACACAGTGCTAGGTTATGGGTGTGTACAGACAGACATTTCAAAAATGTCCTTATTTCCTCCCTGATGTTGATGGAAACACAACAGCATTCCACACAAGCCAGTCCCGGGCACAGATGTCAGGAGCTGGGGATGCACAGTGGTTCCGGGGGGAGCTTTCAGGACAGGCTGCCTCGTGATGACCACTGACTCAGCAGCATGTTCTCGGCCAATCACCTCCCTTGTCTGTAAGATGAGATAAGCATCAGCCAGTCACCTCCCTTGTCTGTAAGATGAGATGATAGCATCAGCCAATCACCTCCCTTGTCTGCAAGATGAGATAAGCATCAGCCAGTCACCTCCCTTGTCTGTAAGATGAGATGATAGCATCAGCCAATCATCTCCCTTGTCTGTAAGATGAGATAGCATCAGCCAATCACCTCCCTTGTCTGTAAGATGAGGTGGCAGGGCCTGCTTCTAAGGACAGGTGTGCTCTTGAAATGAAGATACATGGACAAACGACCTTCAGCGATGTCTGCGAGCTGGACTTGGTGGCTCATGACTATAGTTCCAGCACTTGGGAGGTTGAAGCAGGATGGCTGTGAGTTTGAGGCCAATCTGGGAGACATAGTGAGTTTCAAGACAAAATGGGAGAGAGAGAGAGA